CTCTTACGGACAAGTCGCAATCAGAAAAGATCTCTGGAGGCGTACTTGGCGCCAAGGGTTGGATGGAGTCATCGCGAAAACGTCGTGTGGGATGGTGTGAACGCGCTCCACCCGTACAACAGGAACAGGTTCTTTGCACGATACCCAACCGTCAATGAGCACATGCGCGACTAGCCCATTGCCAACCGTGCATCTGCCACCGACACAATTTCCCAATCGGTGGAGGAGCCGTTGGGTCACTGGGGTTCCTGCAGCGGCAGGCCGATGGCTACGCTCGTAGGATGGATATTAGTGCCTCGGGTCCACGCACAGAAAAATAGCAGACACTCCGGCCTGAGGCGTGACCTCGGTACCAAGAGGATTCAAAGAACCAGAACGGAAGGAGAGATGAGATTACGGACCGGAATTCAAGGTCCGACTATGACGAACCAGCCGTAAGGTTGGCCATATTCTCGGTCACGCGGCATTTCATGTCGAGACCGACTTGATATATCACGTGATGGTTTTGTATCTCCGCGTTCTGTCTCCTTACCTTCCCCAGGTTTCAACCTACGATATTCTATTCGATAGTACCAATCTTACTAATATACGTATTGATCGGCCGTCACACGATCACAACTTTGACAGCATTCCAGGCAATGCAATCTTAAAATCATAAGAGAATAGAGAAATCTTTAAAGTAGATATTTATATTCTAATTGCTCATTATAGTTATAGTAGTCTTTTGAGATAATATAATAAAATATCGTCTTTCCAAAATGCTTCGGAACTTTTATTATTAAACACAAAGAATGATAAGGCTAGGAAGTATTGTGAAACAGTCGCCGATCGCTGCCACGTCATGTAATCCTGTCAAATCCCCTCAATCAATATTTATAAGCGCCCATATATTGCCTCAACATTACCAGTTACAATCCATGTAAAGAACCTGATTCAACTAACCAGCGATAAGCAACTTTTCATATGTTCATATGGCCAGCGCCATGTAAGTGGGGGGATACATAGGGGACCCCCACTACAGTATATACTTAGAATACACTCCGTAATAGATATAGTATCACCTTGAGATTAGATATTAGGGGAATGAAAAAGGCCATTCAAGTCTTCCTTTTTTATTTTCTATGATTTCTTCTTCTTCTTCTTCTTCTTCTTCTTCTTCTTCCTTTTTAGCTTTTCTTTATGTTTAATTACCTTTCCTTTGCTACCTTCCATTGCTTTTCATGTTTCCTTGTGATCTAATTTTCTTTTACCTTCTTTATCTTTTCCCCGCAGCTGGGGTGTCTGTTCTCTAATGAGACATTGCAATATCTCCCATCTGCGATGGCGTGTTTAAGACTTCCCAGTAGGCGGTCGAGACGTGGCAGAAAGGCAAACGAGGGTGGAACGGGGAATATATCCCATTAGTGGCGGTGTTTTCTTTAGCTGTGTGTCATGTTTCGATAAGAAGTATCTTAATATCTTTCTGCAATGAGTCTTGACAGCGTTCCGGCTCAGATCTGCTTCACTCGGCGAGGTGCCTGCCTAGCTAGATATTCGATAGCTAGGCCTCATCAGGTTGATAATCTTGATTGTTTGATTGTATTCATTTAGAAAACTGCTTCGTCATCATTATCTTGGTCATCCTCAACATCCATATCATCGTCATCCTCGTCAAAACCTTCAAAACTCATAAATTGTTCGTTCTTAGCGTCGGTTTCTTTTTCAACCACAACACCATCTTGGATTTCACAGTCCTGGGAGGTTTGGTCAGTACATCGTATCTTCAGGTTTAGTGTTACTCGCGCGTACCTTAAGGACGGACTCCTGTCCAACCTGACTGAATCTACCGACTGATATATTATTAGTTTGTGGCCTCCAGACTTGTCGTCATTATCAATTACGAATAACATACCGATACATCCTGTGAGTACACACTTTTGTCCAATAACCGCATTGTCCATAACAACACATCTACTTGAAGTTAGAAAGCTCATTTCACATGGACATTCGGATGCTTACCTCGTCAAGCGAGCGCCACTGCAAATCTTGGCATTCGACGAAATGCACGATTCTTTGATGACACATTTTTCCTCGACCTTTCAATCCGTTAGCTGGACTATACGATGCAATGGAAAACGAAGTAATTACCATCACGTTGCTTCCCAGTAAGCAATCACCCTTTGTCACAATCGATCGTGAAGCGATTCCTTCCGGAGTGGCGATCTTCGAGGCGTGACTGAACGGTGAAGCAGCGGCACGGCCCACCTCTTCAACCGACTCCAGCTTGGCCAGTCGCAGTGACATCGCCAACACCAGGGCGGAACTGTCAACGCGCCTGATTAATTGCTTCGATGGCTTGGTCAAATAAGCCAGAATAGGTGGCACCTCCACTGAAGACGGGACGGTCGGAGAAGACTCAGAGTCCTGGCCATGAGTCGTGGTCATGCCACGAAGGTCGATTTCTTCCTCCAATGAATCACCGTCATTGCTCCCCTGCTCTTCTTGGACTTCATTCTTTCCGCCTAGTATTTCATCAATGCCAAGCTTTTTACTCAAGCCACGCTGCCACTCTGCCTTCGCCCAGTATCCAATCAAATCTTCACTCACGGACTCGAAGCGTTCCTCGTGCTGGGCTAGCGACCGGATCCACTTCGGCAAAATATACAAATGCGCATCCCGGTAGCTAGTAAGCATTTTGACTGAGGCATGCTTCTCGACCAAGGTGTGACGGAGGAGTAGGCCCTTGTCGTTCTCTAGCTGCTCTTTCAGGGTATCCATCGGCATCGACATAGCCAATTTTGAAAGTTCGTATCGCGACACAGCAGGAACCTCATCTTTTTCAAAAGATGTGACTGCCACAAAGTCTGTTGGCTCTTTCTTGATCTCATCGGCAATGCCCTTTGCGGGATAAAACACAGACAGTCCTCCCTGAGAAGCTGAGCCTAGCTCACTCTGCGAGACCAGCCACGCCTCAAGCAAATGTTCACCGGGGATATCGCACAGCAGATCGCAGCTTAGGAGTAAGAAGTTAGAGTGGATACAGGCTTGTACCTCCGGTAGACGAAGTAGCTCCGCTGTTCCAGTTGTCATTTTCAGATCCTTCGGGGCCACGACTGTAGGCGAGGGGGAAGGAAGCGACGTCAGATATGGGTTTTGTTGTAGAGCGGCCTTCACGGAAGCGAGAGCGGAGGGGGGTGTGATCAGTGTGATATCTAAACCATTAGCAATTGTCAAAGACCGCAAAACACAACCGCTGGATGAAACCACTGCCACTACTCACCAGTTATTCCAGCGCGCTTGCACCAATCCAATGGATAGTATACCATGGGCCTTAGCTGATTCCCAATTGCTGTTAGTGAGTGCTTATCATTGAGGCCCACAGTTGTGAACACATACTGCAATCGGGATTAAACATTTTGGGTTCTCCTCCGGGTTTGAAGAAATTGCATTCAAACTTTCTCCAGGTCCGCAGAGGATCAAGGCTTGAAAGCCACTGCTGGGAACTGGCGTCGCGTGCACCATTTTGTATTCTATTGTTTGTATAAACGAACCCCGCGCAATAGTGGGGTGGGGGAATTGGGAGGAAGTCAGCCGGTACGGCTTGGAGAAAATGTCGCGGAGTGCCTTCTGTGATCACAACAGATCAAAGCACCAAAAAGTAGGGTATAAGAGGTGCCTTCTGGAATCACAATATCACCACACTGGAATGAATGCTTGTTCATCCCACTTGCAATTGATAAAACTGCGGAAGTTTTTCGGAGAGCGACACGTGACGATAAGTGAGTCAATCTGAACAAACAATGCAAAATAAACTAATCCTGGTTTGGTTCTTTAGAGCTTAGGTACCTGAGGCCAACAACATGCACCTCTAAACAAATGCACGCACTTCAACCAATCAGCCACCTGAAACTACCTTCATATTTTTTAGTTGACTTGCATTCCAAGACAACTTTTAGTCAACCCAATTAATGTTAGAGATTTATCTAATCAATCAAAAGACAAAAAGTAAAAAAAAAAAAAAGTGTAGACCTGCAGTGTGGGCCTATTCTTTCTTTTTCTCCCTTGAAACCTTTTGCAAATCATTGACAATAAATGCTTAGTTAGAGGCTCTCCTGTACCCTTTGTCGGGGCATGAGGCCACTGGTTATCACGCCAGAATTTCCACGCTGCATTAGCCCTAGTCAGCTTACCTTCACCACACTGAGAGAAGACTTGACCGCAAAAGAAAAACCGGTGACTGGGGGTTTTTTATCTATCGACCAAAGGTATCTATAGGAACGGGTCTTTGTTTAACACAACCATGCAATCCGAGAGACAGTACGATCCTCATCTCATAGAAGATAGAGTGAAGTTGGCCGAGTAGGAGAGCCCAATCATCTTTTGAAAGTATAGGCCATAAATGAGTAGTAAGAGTCAATGTATTCCATCACGAAGTAGAGCTCGTCTTCTCTCTGAAACATTGCATAAAGCCTTGGCGTTGGTATAGAAAGCTCCTGTCCGACAAGGTGCAAGGCATATGAAGCATACCCGTCATTTTCATTCACAAGTCGCCCATATTTGACAACATGAAGGTTCCTAATCGCGACAAGGCGTCCACCGTGTCCTGGGCTACAAATGCTCGAAAGAACAGGTGTTGTTGCATTAAAAAATCTTGTCGTACTCGGGTAGATTGACAGGTTATTCATCTGGCGCTCGATAATATGGCGAGATTCTGCAGGTATCTCTTTGAACAGCCATGTGCGAGAACCACTTATTGTGGGAGGAGAAGCATGCTGTCCGGTGCAAATGCAAAAGAGCTACATGGACACAAATATGTCCTTCCCGATCGAGAGAGAAAGAACCCCAGGTTTGCAGGTCCTCCACTTTCCCCCACAGTGGCACCATCTCCACTGTTTGTCAGATCGCGCTATCAAGTGACAGCTGGATGTTTTCAAGGAGAATAGTAATAATATTCCAGCAAATATACCCATCCATTTCATCCCAGGTCAGCTTCCGTCAAAGACATCATTTTTATACACATCGCCCGGATGGTCTAGTGGTATGATTCTCGCTTCGGGTTGGCTATAACAGCTCAATATGCGAGAGGTCCCGCGTTCGAATCGCGGTTCGGGCCCTCAAACATTCATTCATTCCTTTTGTTTTTGATATTTTCCCATCCATGTTCATGCATCGCCCGATTGACTAGATCTTTTTTGAATTTGCCGGTCCGGTACTCTCGTCTTTTCCGAAGGAAGCTTCAGTGCTACTAGCTGAGGGCTGTGGCGTATATACATACCACATATGCAAATATCAGAATGTGCTTGTGAAATAAGGTATTGATGAATTGATAACTTGATATGGAAAAGCTCGGGATAAAATTCCGGGTGCCTGCCCTAACTGTGGAATTGATAAAGGTTCTCTTTGTGGGTCTTTCCGTTCCAAAGTATGCAGGTCCTGTTGTCACATTGCCTCAGGCAGAGATTCATAGCGGAGCTTCATGGGAGCATCTATAGGGTTATTGTTCAGCTCTGGGGACGGTTGAGTCCCCACAATTTTCTAGGTTTTACTTCCCTGTATTAGAAAGCTCAGAGTATCCTATTCTAAGAGATATACAACTTCCTAGTCAAGTTTGAAAGGAGTGTATTATCTCAAGTTACTAGTTCCTATTCATGGCCGTTCCGGTCTCAACTTAGTACTGAAACCAACCTCTATCATAGCGACCCCTTTCGCTACTGTGGTAGATGTCTCGGGCATCGGGTCAGTTTATCCGAGCGGTATCGAAGTATTCATCGTACAAGCGAATCTCCTAGGTATTTGGACCCGAAGGTTATTAAAACCGATCGTCGAACACTAGTAGTCCCACCCTTGGATATATACTACTATCTAACGCAGCACAGCCGCATTTTCTTTTTTTAATATAGCTCGAGGCCATAGACAATCAATCGCATTACACCATTCCTCCAAATGGATGGTGACTACAGAGTTGACAAGTAAGTTCAAATGTATTTCGAATGACTGGGAGTTAATAAATCAAAGTATTGGATGTTGCTACAGAGCAAGCCATGAAGAACAATTGATTGTCATTTAACCCGGGCAATTTATTCAGCACGGGTTGTAATTTAGCTATCCGAGAGGTTTTATACGAATAGCCCGGATGGTCTAGTGGTATGATTCTCGCTTCGGGTGCTTTACTATCCAATATGCGAGAGGTCCCGCGTTCGAATCGCGGTTCGGGCCCTCAATTCATCTATTTCATTTGCTCTGTTTTTTTGGTTTTCTCCCTTTGTTTGTCTGACATAGCTTTGATATAGAAGTTAAAACCTAACAACACTCCTTTTCATGACATGGTTTCCATAGAATCGCACCAATGTCCTTCCCCACATTGCTTGAACGGCATATCCTCCCCGAGCAGCCCCATATCAAGCGACAAGGCAAACTATAGCCAGTCACCCCAGCCTCAATATGTTGAAAGCCAACAGAATCATGCCTTGGCTGCAGATGTACTGTTTAACCAAATGTCTAGTTTTCGTCAAGCTACTAGAATTCTGATTCATACATTGATTTATTTCATACATCCGAGTGAGTACACATTAACATAAAACGATACGGACTCTAATTACCTAAAAACCTACTGTCGCATTTCAAAATCCCCCGCGCATCTATCAATCCTACTACTGTAGTTAGCCATGCTTCTTAATTCATGCGGATTGGGTGGACTTATAAGAAAAAATAAGGCCGTTCCCTTGCGGGAACGGCAGTTCACGAACCACAACCCTCCTGACATCGTTCGGCTTCGACCCTCTTCAAGCCAACATTCAGTCGCTTGCGCAAGCACCCACTCCGGAGATAAGACCAGCTACATATACCACTAAGCACTCGCTTGATCTCTTCGTCCAACCCCCAAGTAAACCCACAAGTAACACACCCATGTTACTCGCCGTCGGTTTCATTGAACACCACAGTGTCGGGATAAAGCAGACAAGCCTAAGCTTTGATCCTCACTCTGGAGAGGTCCCGCGATACCCCTGCGAATATCCAACTCAAACAACAGCGATGGGCGGCAAGCTTGCTGATTGGGTTGATCCTTGGCTGTTGCAACGGAGGGGAGACCAAGCAATAGTGCTTCGCTTGTAAATGTTCATCTCCACGAAATGATGTGCATCGAAGCAGGCCGACCCCGTTGACTCATGGGCTTAAGTTGAACTGACAAAAGGAGTTGAGTTCGTAAACGCAGCATGTGTATTGCCATGATCGCCTCACGCCCTCGGCACAGGAACCTTCGTGTTCGGACATCCTAAAGCCTTCTCCGGTCGGTACACCTCCCAAGCCTCCATCTCCCAAGCGCCTCGGTAGCGTGATATCCATGCGTACATGTGTCGATCCCGTGTGAGCAGTCCCCATCACCGCAGCGAGCTGTGGCGCGAACCTCTCGTGTGTAGTACAGTACCCCCTGGGACAAGCTTTTGATTCCTCCCCACGATCGATGATCTTGGAGGGCATAAAAAGGCGCGGACAAAGAGCATCCATAAAAACCGCTTCCATTTTCCTCAAAAGAGAGGCGACGATATAAAACCATCGTGAATGTCAGCGCCCATCGATCTATTTGCAACCTCCATTGCAAAGAGATGGTTAACGCGGCCGATCGGGGTCTTCTCACGAAGCACAAATCTGGCTATTGCCCTGATTTGGGGTCTGCTAGCCCCGTAACGGAGAGAGACACCAGAGGCTAGAAGTTGGAGAGTAGGTACAAGTCGCCCAGGCTTCTCGAGGTTGGAAACATATGTGCGATCTGGGACGATGGGGTCGGTGAAATCACAGAAACCACCAAGACCATTGTGCATTCAAACTAATCGGAACTGGAACAAGGCAACAAGCGAGGCAGTACAATAGTTATTGCACCAAGTCCAATAACTATTGATTCTTCACTACCGTCACGGATTAAAAGAGCCTCGCTACAATCTAATACCCTGAAAGACACCTGGGTTTCTTCCCAAATATCAGACTGGTGCTGGCGAGTGGACGCTTTCAAGACCGTGACCTCGTGATCGAGTGTAAGCTGGTGACCGAGCGGCCATATTATTGGGTTCTCAAGGATCAGTCGATCATGCACAATAGTCCATGGCATTCCCCGATCCCACACGTTGGAAACACCGTGTACCGTTATCGTCCAGATATGATTCGCAAAAAATGCACTCTTTGGGAGGCCTCAAAAATGTTTCACCTACTCTCTCCCCTGGCTTCTCTGGCCCTCTAGCATAGACAGTCCATCCCTGGCGATCAGCATGTCACGTCCAGCATTGGTAGACCGACGCGTGCTTCTTTCGAAGCCTTTCACGCATGGTAAACCGTCTTCTGTGCCCTGTTATAGGCTCTGGACACCGGGAAGCCGTTTAGCTGATCAAACTCTCGTCTAATCTGGCTAATTAGCTGGCCCGTCATGCAAAACCGCGAAACTACGCCCTGATGGCGATGAACCGACTGGGTTACATTAGGGTTAGATTCCGAGCGTTCATCTTCACCTGAGCGACAGATGAACAGCAGGAAGCTATCAAGGGGGTAAGATCTGTACGAAAGCTGTCCTTTGGACTGAGAGGCGTGACATGTCGACACTGGACGCCCATCTAATCACGGACAGCACGCCCTGAAGCCCGAGGGTCCAACAGAAACTTCAGTGAGACAATGAACCGTATGACTGAAGCGCTCAGAAGAGGACCGTGACACCGGCCCTGAACCAAGTCGGTTGAGGCGATTGACGCTACTGCTGCAATGGTGGATCGGAAGGGTTGACGGGATTAGGGAGGGAGGCCCGGTGTTGATCTACTACGCGTGCCGCGTGGGCACGTGACCAAACACGAACCGCCACGGCCAGACATGTTGGTCTAACCTAATCTGGTGTAGTTGGCTGCGGGCCTGGCCTCAGGCCATCTCAGATCCAGACAACTTTAACTTTATTTTCATGCCAAGTTCTCTTTTCATCAATTAGAAATTGTACGTGCGTTGCAGAATTCAACTCCGATATACGAGAGAATACTAAAAGCTGATGCTATAGACAGATTATTATAGAGTCCCTGAAGCATGATCTGCCCGATCTGCAAGCTATACATTCTTAAAATCAAGTGATAATCCTCTAGTTTTTCTGCATTAGTATAAGTGTAAATGAATGCTTTTTATATAAGAGTAGATCTCTTACTTTAATGCCCTTAATAATTGATAAAGCATGCTCTTACGATCTAGACTATTAGATAAAACTTAGGTTAATATAAATTATATAATGAAACCCTACTAAAGACATAGCAGTATCTTCCTACGCGGTGCAGCAACGACACAGGCCCCTGGAAAGGCCCTTTGCAAGCAAGGATGTTTTGTAAGCTTGAAATTTCTGTCATATCTGGAATACGCACTCAGTCTTTATGTAGTCTTCTACAGACGGCTAAATCACCAGTCCACTCATCGGGATCAAATTTCAAAATACCCACAACTTCACCCAATGCTCATCACGACCTTCTCTGTAGGCTTCTGATCATACTGATATTGAAATGCCAATAGTGAGCCTTCGATGATAAAGAAAGTAAGATCAATGATGGGCTGAATGTCATTAGCCTCAAATGGCATCAATCGCCTCCTCAAACTGCGTCCGATTGCCGGCTTCAATGCCACGCACTAAACGCATGCGGGAGAATGGCTCGAGGAACGACAGTAATTCAACAATGGCAATGTATAATTATAATTCAACCAACAAAATAACATACAGATAATCGCAAATCTTACTTCTTGGAGCTTAAATGGTAGCCCGAAAGAACCTGAAAATATGAAAATCTGGGATCACGGGGATCTCATCATTAGCATCAGTTCAGAAAGGCTAGTGACATGGAATTTTCCTTTTGCATCTGGTTCATACTCTGCACGATTTCATAAGCATCAGGACCGACGATTCCATCAAGTGGCAAGATCCCTGCATCTTGAAACTCTTCCATCATTCGCTCAGTAAGGGGATCATGGTAAGTACAGCGAGGATGGGAAGGAATAGGCATTCCGTGTATATAATTATACGTGAACCGAGATGCGTAGAATTTACCTACCACTCTGACGGGAATAGTTTTTCTTGGTGGTGTGATTGCTCGGATGATAAGAAAG